GTTAAGTCACACCCTGCTCTACTCGAGAGTAATGTGTCATTCAATAGGTATAAAAAGTTGCTCTTAAATAGCTAATGGTCAGGAAGGTACAGAACATACAACACAGTGACATTTAAAAATATGAAGGCATAGCATCTCCACAACCAAGGTTATGTCCAACTATTGAGAGCACAATCAAATACAAGCATTGCTTATGTCTAAATCTAGAACCAAATGCATTCCATGTACACTATCAAAAACTATTTCACTGGTTATAATCTCATCTTAACCAATTTTAGAAACAGACACAAATAACATTCTTAACAGCAAGGGCAAATAAGTCACTGGAACTATTTAAGGAGAATCATAGATAACTTCCATCTTCCAACATATACTATATGCCCAAGTACAGGGCTAACTGGACAAAGTGTCTTTAGTACACCTAAAGATCTCTTTTAGTTCATCTCTTCTGGCCTTAAATTATGATTTTGGGTCAGTGGTGGCCTAAAGCAGTCTTGACAGCCTCTGAAGTTGTATCATTACACAAGTTCAAACAGGCCTTTTAATAATAAAGCAACACACCAAACACTTTCTGGAGTATATTTAGCTATAGCTTATAAAGAAAGCCAATAAAAATAAAAGGAGAGCCAGTCTCAGACTGAACACTACAGTCACAGTCTGATGTCACTGACATTGCAATACATCAACAAAAAATCCATGGTGTTGCTACTCACTAACCTTTCAGTAGTATTTCTGGAGTGGACACACAAAATGCAGCATGAATACCAATAAGCGATGGCAGGTTGCGCAGTTAGTTTTAATATTCACAGAAGCCAGATTTCTACTGCCAGAGAAGTGATCATGTTATAAGTCATTGCCCCTGCCCATACTCTATTTCTTAAAATGTTTCTACAGTAAAAGCCATGTTAAACTGGCATTTTACTGAACAGAATACTCTATTAACCAGAATTTCCAGTATCTCCCAATACAAATCCTCACTTAGGCAACTGGAATCTTTGCCAAGTCTATCCAGCATGCACATCAAGTATTTCTGTTGCTTACATTAGTTATTGACACTGCTGATAGAGAAGCTGCTGGGTATCTGCAGGGGAAGGGGAAAGGGATCTGCGCAGAGCAGGGTGGGCTGGGGCCAGTATAACTCTCAGATAACCAGAATTTAGATAACTGGCACCCCCTTATCCTACTCATGCAGTATAACAAACATTTATAGTACTAGTTTAGGAACTCTATGCAATCAAAATCTATTTTATGCATTGTAAAGTGTCAACACTTATGGCAGTGAATACAAATGCATAAGGAAGGGATGGGCAATTATTTTGGGTGGAGGGCTGCTTATGGAGTTTTGGCAAGCCATTGACTGCCACATGACAGGCAGCCAGGGACAGAAATATTAATTTTCTAAATTTTTTAGGGGTCCCACAGGCCAGATAGAATGGCCTGGCGGGCTGCATTTTACCCACTCTTGGCATAAAGGTCCTTCCATCAATATATAGCAGAAACACCAATCCTGTAAGCAACCAAGAGGATGCCACCAGCTGCAGAATGTTAGCTACCAAGGTGCACTGGATGTGTTCTTTCCTAATTTTTAATACACTGTTCCCTTTCTAGAGCAGTGGCTGCCACCCCTCCAGAGGGCAGCTGCAGCCTGCCCCAAACAGATCCAGGGGCACATGCATCCCCTTTCATCCCTACCCCCACAGGGAACTGGCAGGACTACCCCCCCCACCCCGGGACAAGCAGTGGCTCCATCCCACACCCACCTCGTCTCACCCTGGCTGGGTAGCAGCCACCTGAGCCCCAGCCCCACTTCCTCCTCAACACATGGGGCAGGGGGCAAAGGCACTGATCTGCCTCCCATGCCCCTTCCCTCTCACCACAATAGACTTACTAGATGCATGCAGCTGTATAGGAAGTCAGACTTGTATTGGCTAACATGCCTCCTTAAAAATCAGCTATTGGTATCAGCCCCCAAAACCTTTATCAGTGCACCCCTATTAATTATCTAAAAGGGCTTTGAAACTAAAGCTTGCAAAATCCATCAACTCTGTGTCCTGCGTTTCTACTTCATTAGAAAGCTTAATTTGGCACAGTTGACTCCCAAATAGTCAAAAAAAATATCCAGCAATTTCAGATGAACCTACATTATTATAACTACAAAAGCCCATGACAACACTAGTACCTTAAATTAAGAATATGAAAATAAATTACTGTTTAAGTTGCTTGCTACTTCATATTTAACTTTACGCCTACTGCTTTTAATTTACATGATGATAGCTACTCAACAACAGAGCCAGACTCAAACTGCTACAATACTGGCCCCACAACAAGGGTAACAAAACCCCATGTCATAGGAGGTAGGGGCAAGGCCAAGCCTATCCTGGCTTATAGGCAGCCCCCCCAATCTCAACTGATGTCTCTCCAGCAACAGAATATTTAACTCCTATTTTCACTAAGCCACCAGGGTCTTGCTACAGACCCAGATGTCCATTGTGCTGCCTCATTATCACTGAACCAAGCAACACAAACTGCACCATGCAGGGTACATTCAGATACTCCTTCACCAGTGCCATGCCTACATTTCCTGCCTACAGTAAGTACAGCACCCTTCTGTCATCTACGCTGGTCAGATGAAGCAATCCCTACATAAAAGAATGAGTGTACATAGATCTGACATCGCTTCCAGTAACCCAGAAAGGCACATGACAGAACGCTCGCTTTCCTGGACATTCCATCATTGACCTCTAAACAGCTGTCCTTACATTTAAAAAAGCTGGAATGTAAAATTTTAGACTAAGTCACACGCAGGCTGGATTGTTTTAACAGAGGTATCAACAAGGGGCTATGCTTTATCCTAGTGGTACTCAACCTTTTTGGCCAGTGGGCTGGACAGGCAGGCGGTATGCAGGCCAGATCCAGCCAGTGGTCCTGATCTGGTGCCCAGGGTGGTCACTGTGGGATCTCATCCAGCTGTAGGGTCAGTGGGAGCAGCCTGCCTCCATCTCATTTTGCAGGTGGAAAGGGGGTTTGAGACAAGACCCAGGGGGGTACTGGACTGGGGCTAACTCACCATGTTGAGCTTGGAGCTCAGCAAAGGAGGAAAGGAGGCTGTATTAATGGACACCACTTCCCTGCTCCCAATTTCCCAACCTATGGGGAGCTCTGTGGGCCAGATAATACAACTCTGCAGGCTGCATGTGGCCCACAGGTCAGAGGTTGAGCACCTGCCCAATCCCATTAGCTGGATGAGTGGCTGCCCCTCCAGTAATTTATCTGAGTTGACCTAAGCAACCCTCAGATTGCCTTTCAGCAGCATCTCCTCCCCCTGTCCCTTTCCCATCTGGATAAAATCTTTCCTTTCTGCTAATCCATTTGCAGCACCTGAAGCAGGGGACTGGTGCCAACTGTGGAGAGCCCAGGTGCTGCCAAGCCCCACGTCACTGCTGCCAGACTGTAGTGATTCAACAGAAAGGTAGTCACTGGCAGGCTTGCCTGGGAGCTCTGAAGTCTTCAGGACAGACTGGACTTGGTGCCTAAGCTCTGAATCACAGCTCAGGAGCCCCAGAAGGGTCTGACAAGCTCGTGACTAGGTTCACCCAGGACCAGTCCACAGAGACCACAAGTTAGTGGCCCGGCAAGCGAGGAAAGGGCACAAGGTACCAGCTTTCCAAAGGCAATGCTGCCCGTCCTCAGCTTAAGCCCCTGCTGGAAGGGGGCAGCTCTACCAGCCAGGCCTTCTCTGACCCCAACTCAGCCTCCCACAGGCCCCAGGGCAGACCTGGCCCCTTGCTGCCCAGTGAGGGGGCCTGGGCAAACCTAGTCATGAGCTTGTCAGAACCTCCTGGGGCTCCTGAGCTGTGATTCAGAGCTTAGGCACCAAGTCCAGCCTGTCCTGAAGACTTCAAAGCTCCCAGTCGAGCCTGCCAGTGACTGCCTTTCTGTTGAATCACTACAGTCCAGCAGCAGTGACATGGGGCCTGGCAGCACCCGGGCTCTCCACAGTTGGCACCAGTCCCCTGCTTCAGGTGCTGCAAATGGAGTAGCAGAAAGGAAAAATTGTATCCAGAAGGGAAAGGGACAGGGGAGGAGATGCTGCTTTAAAGCAATCGGAGGGGCTGAGCCAGCGCGGGCCTCTCACCGGCCCCGGAGCCGCCCTTCCC